ATATTATTTTATAATAGTTTTTTTCACCCTTCGGGTCAGATTATGAGCAGTTAATAGAGGAGAGACTGTAGTACATTTTTATTTCGTGTATCTAAGTCTTACGTGTTATTTTAACGTTTGCCTGTAGGGGGCGGTAATACTCAACTACACTGACTGACAGAGGCGAGGCTGCCATATCGCGCCATCAGCCCCTCTGACCAACACCAGTAGGTGGTAGGTGAAGTGTCTTGCCAAGAACACGACGACCCAGACTGTCCGAGCCGGGGCTCGAACCGGCAACCCTCCGATTACAAGACAAAATGCCAGCGCTTGAGCCACGATCACCCTTTAACATAGTTAAGACAGATTGTGACGTCGGATTTAAGCTTGTCTGTTGGCTGATGTTTGAATATTTACAGTGAGTCCCGTCAAATGTTACTTGAACACTGTATTTGTGCCACAAACACTGAGATGCTGATGAGCTGGGAGGAAAACAAGCTGGCAGCTTGCTGAGAACCCATCGACTGCGGAGTCCTGACCTGACAGGCTGGAGGGTGAAGCCTCTAATTTGAGCTGCCTCTGGTCGGAGCAGCCTCATCAGCTCTTCTGCAGTGGGCAGCTCTAAATACACACAGACAAAAGAATTTCTCAGCAGACTTTTATCCTTTACGATCCTGCCCATCACAAACACTTTTGCACAGGTAGGATCTTATTTATGGGGCTAACACACATGACGTGACATGATGTGACACAGAAGTGGAGCCCAGGTGTGACAAATGTGAAATGAAGACCTTTCAAGTCTTTGAAATCTGTGGAAAATAATCAAAAAACATTGATGCTTTTTCCAAAACTGTCAAATGACATTGAGGGTTCATCCATGTTGCACATTTTCTCATTTGTAGTGTCAGAAAGAGCCGTTGGGGTGCGCTCACTGAGCAACCACAGACCTGGGGTTTATACGCTGTATACTCAGACTGACAAAGACCTAAAGTAGAATCATTTCTGACCTGAGTCACTGGTAGAAACAGGCTGCAGAGACTGTTGGGCATGTTGAGAGGAAGGAGACAGAGGTCTGTTGATGCTCCATCTCCCTTCCAAAGATGAGGAATGATGACCACGGCCATCTGAATCCTCCACAACATGGACCTGCCTGTAGGCCTCCTGCAGAGCCTCCAACTCTGAGGCCCCACTTTGCACGTAAGACTGACCTGTAGAGAAAATGAATGAAGTTCATCCAGAAAGTTAAATGAAACTTGAACGATGTTTTAGGGAAGCTTCAGTCACGTTTAAAGAGTTCGTTTCACGTGTTTACATCCTGACCACATATGTATTGTTTACAACTTTGTCTTATAATCTGGTTTCATTATGTATATTTACATATTATTTTACCTAATGAGGCTGAAGTTATTCAAATGTCTTCTGTAAAAGTCAATATATAATTCATTCATTGCACAGACTGAAAATGTGAATCACAGTGTGTGAGATGTGGATTAGACACTTTATGTATGTAATAATCAGTAAGTATTATTAGTATTATAAGTCAAAGATCAGGGACTGTGGCTTCTCCTTAGAAGCAGTAAAATCACAGACACTAAAGAGGAAACTGCATCAGGAAAGAGCAGCCCAGAGAAAGAGCTACATCTTAATACCAGAGCTGAAGACCATCTATCATCCTGACACTATATTTCTGATCATGCTGGAGCTCACAGTACACTGGAGGAGCGGATCGAGGAGGCCAATGAGAGGAAAGTACCAGGAACTAGTGTAGGAGTGCCGGGGAAGGGGCTGGAAGACTTTCTATGAGCCCATAGAGGTGGTTGTTGGAGCTTTGCAGGACGATCACTCTGCAAAGAGGCCGGCTGGGCGTGGCTGCGGCAGCCAAGAAGAGGCCCGTCCAGGCTGTGAGCGAAGCAGCAGAGAAAG